GTCGTCAGCGTAGGTGGCCAGAAGTGTGCCTGGTTGTGTAGGACATGGCAGATCCGAAGTGTACAGAGTGTACATAATGGGACCCAGGACGCTTCCCTGTGGAACGCCAGCTCGAGCAGTTCTAATGTTTGACCTTTCCCCTCTTACCTCGACCATAAAACTTCGATCAAGCAAGTATGATTTTAGTAAGAGGAATTGGCCGGTCGGGAGCAGGGACTTCAACTTATGGAGTAATCCAGCGTGCCAAACGCGGTCAAAGGCTTGCTTGACGTCGAGGAAAATAGCAGAACTTGCTTATTGCTTATTTTCAAAGGCATTTAAAATGTGTTGAACGACTCTATGTGCTTGTTCTGGTGTCCCATGATGATGCCTAAAACCAAACTGGTGGTCGGGAATGGCGTCCTGCACGCTTCTTACGCCCATAATTTTACTAAGAAATATCCTCTCGAATATTTTAGAGAAAGTGGGCAGTAAGCTTATCGGTCGGTATGACTCGACAAGGTTCTCCGGTTTTCCTGGTTTTGGTATCATCGTTAGCACAGCACACTTCCATTGGGATGGAAAATGGTGGATACGTAGCATTGAATTATAAAGGAGAACAAGGAACAGGATTCCCTTTTTAGGCAAAGCTTTGGCAATTCTGCTATCAATGCCATCGAAACCAGGCGCCTTACTGGGATGTAACTTTCGAATATGAAGGTAGACTTCTTCTGGGCTAACATGTTGGATCGGTAGTGCATCCGGGGAAGGAGCATTAAGAAAGGCCCGTGTTTCTTCAACATCCTCAGGACTCGCGAGGTCAAAAGGCTGAAAGCGTTTTTCTAGTTCGTCTGCAAAAGCTAGAGAAATCTCTGAGTCAGATCTGCACCATGTGTCGTCAGCTTTTTTTATGGGGATCTTTCGAAGAGGCTGTCGTTTCATATTCCGTGTACATTTCCAAAGGTTGAAGCCGTACGATTTAGTGGGATCCGCGTTGAGGAGCATTTCATCGAAATATTCGCGCTTAGTTTGGTACAGAAGTTTTTTAAGATCATCTTCGGCACGACGATATGAGCTTTTGTCGACTGGATCTTGAGATCTCATATATCTGCGACGTAGGGATCTTTTTAACCTTACCAGTTCCATTACCTCAGGTTTTAAAAGAGCCTGAGGTGGGTTGAAAGTGTTTGGGACTTGTCCACAGGTTGAGGACTCGGCAGCGATATGAATATTCCGGACAAACATCTCCACAGCTTCGTTGATGACCTCAGGAGAGCTTAACACCATATTGAGGTCGGCTTGTTGACTGCTGCTTGAAAGCGAGGAAGGCTCGCAATTCGAGGAAGGATGCGAGGCCTGGAGCAAATTTTTTGCGCAGCGACTCTGAATTTGATGATTAATGGGATGTGATCAGAGCTAAGCTCAAGACTTTCTGTAATGGAAAGACACTCAGACCGTATCCCGCCGTATATAGCAAAGTCAATGGATAATGCGTAGGCCCTCCGGTTGCAAGGACCTGGCCATTGGATCTTTGAACAAGGTCTGCGAGAGCTCTTCCGCGGGTGGTTGAGTTTCAAGACCCCCACAAACGGTGGTGTGCATTGCAGTCCCCTGCGATTATGAAATTTGATCCCAGATCGTCAAAGAGCTTTTCAAAGTCGTCAGCAGAACATTGAAAGTTTGGTGGACAATATATAGACGCAATAGCTGTCTCGCCAAAGTCGGTTTTGACTTTGACTGAGACACATTGAACATTTTGACTTTGTAGACTATAGAACTGGTAACATTGTAGACAGGATTTTATTATAATTGCAGATCCACAAAGAGCACAAAGAGCTCCAGCTCAAGGCCTTTGTTGGCAAGTCCGTCGGCGTTCCACACACCAATGTTAAGGCCGATTTGACTCATGGTTGTGTTACATTAACTGGGAGAGATCCAGCTAATGATTGAGCTGTTCCTGGAGTATTTTGGGGTAACAGTCTTGTGACAAGTCCCATCATCGACACCATCATTTGGAATAACTTGTCGATCTGAGCAACAAGGACCAACATTCTTTCGTTGGATTGCAGGAACATTTGCTCTTGACGCTGCCATTGCTGGTCGTTGATCAATTGCTGCGGGTTGCGTCGGTGTTGTTGACGGAGAGACTGCTGCTGGTGATCCGGCTGTTGTTGTTGTTGAGGAGCCAATTGTTGCTGTGATGGTTGCTGCTGCTGTCGAGGCGGTGCTTTTTGATGCTGACCCTGCATCCTGTTGTTGCTGCTCAGTGGAGGAAACTGTTGGCTCTGTGGAAGAGTCATAGGAACTTGATGGAGCTGGTGACTGCTAACTTGACCACGGACAGCATTGGTATAGGAGATTGGGTTAGCAGAGTTTGACCGACCATTTTTGGGAGTTAGCTGTTTGGGAACGGTGCTGCGATGGGATGTGACATTTTTCCGTCGATTTGCAAACTGCTGGTATACGACACAGCCTTTATAGCTAGCTGTATGGTTTCCGCCACAGTTAACGCATTTGACAGGGTGAATATCTTTTAAGCAGGCCTCCACACCGTGTTGCAGGCCACATCTGACGCAGTTGAAGAGTTTTTGGCAATGATTTTTTGTGTGTCCAAATGCTTGGCACCGGTGACATTGAACGACATCATCCTTTTTGTAGGGGAGTTCAACTTGAACCCTTTGCCGACAAAGTGTCTTAAGCTCATGGATGTCTTTGTTATTTGCCGCCGGTTCTAGTTCAACAAAAACCAGGTTGACGAACTTGGTTTTGTCAAAGCGGCTTCTAGGTCTATTGATAAATCGAACCGCGTGTCCAGCCGAAATAATACTTTCCTTAATATTATCATCCGGGACGGAATGATGGACACCACGGATGACTACACGATAGGATCTATCTTCTTTCAACTGCCAGGAATGGTATGGCACTTTTTTAAGGGTAAGGGATTTTGTTATAGCTCTGTATGCATCTGAATCTGCAGCTATAATGGAAACGGAGTTGTTGGGATGGCATTTGAGGGAGTATTTGGACGGGTCAACGATCTTGTCTGTGGATCTAATAAGTCCGTTCAGGCTCTCACAATGATCAACCACAATTGGGGGTGGTTTGTGGGAGGGAATTTGTTCCTGGCTGCCAGATGGACGGCAGAGATTTTTATTGTTTCCGATATTGTTGCCAACTTTGGTGTGGACAACGTTGTTGCTGCTAGGGTTGTTGGTAGAGCTGTTGCCGTTGCTGATGTTGCAGCTGACCTGTCTTAAGCCGATGGAAGTACTGGCTTTTTCAGAATCATTGGGGCTGACCGTATGAGGAACTTGGACGTGTCCCATGTCTGTGTCCATGTCCGACAGTTCTGAGAATCGGTTGGCCGAAACATTCGTTTTTGGGGAATTGGAATTTCTCAGAATTTTGGTGATTGGTGATGCTGAATTCGATGACCTTGAGTCAAGACGGCGTTTGTTGTTAGCCGATCTTGGGGTCCACCAGTCCTCATCGTCGCCATTTAGGGCTGCTAGTTCCGGTTCCGGCTCATTGTCTGACGATGGTGCAATGTTGTACGAGGGGGAGGTATATGGAAGTCTAGCTTGCCTTAGTATCTCTTTCGTTTTTTGCTGATTTCGTGCCACAATCTTATTAATGTTTAAGTCATCTTCGGAGTCCGAAAGACCAGACATTATAGGTGTTATGCACTGCTTTACCGACTTCTTTAATATTTAGACCCTTTGCCTGGATTCCGAAAAGTGTGATCGTAGCCTAGTGGGCAAGGCGTAGGCCCCGCACTTGGGAGGAACCCAGCTCAAACCCTCCAAAGGCGAATGAAATTCAAATTTATTTTTTTTTTTTTATTGGGAGAAAGTTATTAAGACCAAAATAAAATTCGATTTCGAATTTGGACAAACTAGCGGAGTTTTGCACTTGCTTTGGCTTTCTGTTCCACTTGTTCTCACGACTTTAGAAGTCGGAAAGGGCATGAATTTTGCCACGGAGGTGGACTTGTCCATAGACTCTTCACAATGAAATTCGCAGCGATAGAGAAACGCGTCTGCACTCCACGAAAGCATGATCGTTGGCGTAGAAGGATTTGCCATTCCTTCCACACTTTTTCGGTTCTGCTGCTGGTTTTTGTTGTTTTATTTTTGTACTTTTTTTTTGTTGACCGGGCCTTTTGGACTCAGGCGGAGCCGGTGCTGGTCATCGCACAGGCTGATTGTTTTTAGTTTTGTATTATTTTTTTTGTTTTATTTTTTTTTGTGTCCAGGCCTTTTGGACTCAGGCGGCGCCGGTGCTGGTCATCGCACAGGCTGATAATAATTTTCTTTTTAAAAATAGTCTTTCATTTACAGTTTTTATATATATTTTTTTTTTTAAATTTCACAGCACTTTATCATATTTTCTTTTTTTTCTATTGTTTTTCGGTTTATTTAAATACAATTTTTATGTTTTTATTCGAAGATTGCACTTATTCACTGTCACGGTCGCCATGTACTAAGATGTAAAATCAAAACTCTGCATTTGATATTTATTTTTATTGAAGAATTAATTAATTATAACATGCGTTTTGTTCGGGGCTCTCTTCGTTAATGCTCCCGCTTTTTTTAAGAATAATTGGCTTGGCTTAGAATTCACATAGCTGCGCGAGCAGCGCCGCGGCCAAAGCTTATATATCTAAAAATCTATATAAATGTATATGTGCCACTGCAGAGCAGCGGTCAATGCTTATGCATAAGTGTATATATAAACGGCGCAAGTAGTAGCCGCGCATGAGGGAGAGGGTGTTATGCTCACACGGTAACCGAATGGACGGCCGCGCATGCAGACATGCCGGCTCAGCATTTAGGATGTTCATAACATTGTGTGTGGGTCGAATTACTCCACACTTGAAGTGCTGGGAATATTAAGACCTAAATAAATGCCACAATGTTGCAGTGATATAAGTGGTACATGTGAGCATACTACAGCGGCTTAACCTAACTATGGCAGCGCGGGTGCCCGGCTTGACTCACGTGACCCTGCGTGATGTTGGTTTATTCGGAGTGTACTCGTCGATGGGTGGCTTTCTTGGGCTGGGTACGCTGCTCAGTGACTTGGGCATCCTGGTTGCTCTCCTGGCCGAGTATCTCCTGCTGGTCCCCCAGAGCTTGGGAGTCTTCTGGATCCACGTTTGGGGGTTCGGAGGCGAACGCTTCTGTGTATGGCTCTGCCTCGTTGTCCGCTGTATCTTCTTCGTCGTCGGCTTCTCCGGTCCTGTACTCTTTGAGATCCGGGAGACTGGCAGTCCGCCGTTTCCTAGAGCCCCGCAGTTGTAGGAGCACTACATTATGGGACAGGAACTTCACCACTTTGTATGGTCCGGTGTACTTCGGAGCCAACTTGGCGTTGAATCCCTCGCTGGCCTTGGACAGGTGAAGGGTACGGACCAGCACCCATGATCCCACCAACGGTCGCCAAGCGCGCCGCCGTAAATTGTAGTACCGCTGCTGTTCCTGGGATGCCCGCTCGTTGTTCTCTCGTGCGATGGCATATGCCTCCTGTAATCCTTTAGCCCGGTCATCGGGTGGCTGTGGCGTGGTACTTGAGCTCGGGGTCACCTTGTCGTACCAGGCCCCCGGCAGGCGTGGCTCGCGGCCCTGGACTAAATAGGCGGGGCTGAATCCCGTGCTGTCCGAGATGCTGGAATTCACTGCGAGCGAGATCTCTGGCAGTAGCTGGTCCCAGGATCGCTGGTCGTCCGCGGTGTATTGGGCGATCATAGTTTCGTCCGGTTCGCACGCTCGGTCGGGTTCTGTTGCGGCGAGTACGGAGCCGTGTACTGGATCTGGACGCCGGCCCGTTTGCAGAGTGCCTTAAACCCTCGACTCGTGAATTGCGCGCCGTTGTCGCATATCAGCGTGCGTGGGGTTCCGAATCGGGAGAGGATGCGCTCTCGAAACGCCAGTTCCAGCTGGGCCGTCGTCGCCTTCCGCAGCGGTATGATCTCGACCCATTTCGAGAAGACGTCCAGGAAGACCAGCAGCATTGTATTCCCGCGACGAGACCGGGGTAGGGGTTCGATGAAGTCTGCGCTGACCATTGTGAAGGGTTCCTCTGGGCGACGGGTGAGCATCTTCCCCACGGGCTTGAGCTGACTCGCCTTGAACCGCTGGCAGGTCGCAGCACCTTACGTGTCGGCGAACGTCCCGATGCATTCCAGGCCAGAAATAGCGCTGTCCAACTCGTCGGATCGTCTTGCGGATCCCTAGATGCCCTGCCGAGAGGTGGTCGTGGCACTCCTCCAGCACGTGTCGCCAGTGCTCCGTGGGAACTGACAGCTTCCAAGGGTTGATGCCCTCGTCGGGTGATGGATCGCCGAGGTGGCGGTACAGCTGTCCGTTCTCTCTGGCGTAGTCCGGAAACGTTTCCGGTTGGACGTCGATTTGTTCCAGTTTGGCTCGGATCCACTTGCATGGTGATACTGCTTCCTGTAGTTGGTGGAGCGTGTCCAGTGGTTGGCGCGACAGTGCATCAGCGACCACGTTCTGGTTACCCTTCCTGTAGTGCACGTCGAATTGGAACTGCTGGAGCTCCAGCGCCCAGCGAGCGATACGCCCGGTCGGGTTTTCAATGTTATTCAGCCATTTCAGGGCTAAATGGTCTGTGATAACATCGAACCGATACCCTTCGAGGAGCACCGGAGTTTCCGAATGGCCCAGACGATGGCGAGGCATTCTTTCTCGGTGGCCGAGTAGTTTTTTCTCGGATTTCACCAGTCGCCGGCTAGCGTACGCCACCACTCGTTCGCCTTCTTCGGCTTGCTGCGTCAGGACTGCTCCGAGCCCGTAGTCGCTGGCGTCGGTTTGCAACTGAAACTTCCGGGTGAAGCTTGCTCTTCAGATCTTCGAACGCGAGTTGCTGTGGTTCCTCCCAAAGACATCGTTTCCCCTTCCGTAGCAACATGGACATCGGCTGCACTATGGCGGCGAAGTTGGGTACAAATCGCCTATACCATGAAGCGACTCCCAGACATCGCCGCAGCTCCTTGCAATTGGTAAGGGGTTGTAGCCCCTTTATGGCCGCGATCTTGTCCGGATCGGTCTGGATACCGGCCTCACTGATCACATGCCCCAAGTATACTAGGCTTCGGCAGAAGAACTTGCACTTGGCCCGGTTCAGCCGTAGGTTGGCATTCTGAAGCCGCTTGAAGACCTCCTTTATGTTTTGCATATGTTCTTCCCGCGTAGCTCCTGTGACGATGATATCGTCTAGGTAGGCAAAAGCGTGAGGCTCTAGGTCTGGCCCGATGACGCTATCCAGGGCCCTTTGAAATGTCGCTGGAGCCGAATGTAATCCAAGCGGCAATACTCGCCACTGGAATAATCCTCGTCCAGGCACGGTGAATGCGGTACAAGCGCGACTTTCCTGCGCCACTGGGATCTGCCGTTAGCCGTTTTTCAGGTCCAGCGTCGAGATATAGCGCGCGTTCCGCAGGCGCTCCAGGATGTTGTTGATGCGCGGAAGCGGGTACGCGTCCGGCACGCTGTGTGCGTTTAACTGCCGGAAATCGAGACACATTCGCATTTCCCCAGTCTTCTTCCTCACTAGGACAATGGAATTCCTCCTCGAGGAACGCTAGGGTTCGGGGTTCCATAGGCTCGCCGGTGAGTGTCTGTGGCTGCTGTTCTTCCAGACATTCGGCGATGGCGGCGAGATTTGCCGTAGGCTTATCGTGGCTGGCCTGGTTTCGGAACTTCTGCATCGGCTAGTGGAGTCAATCCGTACTCGCTGGCCCCTCCGGTAACAGCAGGTGGCGGGGGATCGGATGACATAGTTGGACCCGGTCGTCCTGGAGGCCGGGAGGGTGCGGCTGGTACCGCTCGAGAGTTCGGGGACGGCGGCGACGATGATGTAGCCGTGGCGGCCCTTGGAGCCGATGGCGACGACGATGTGGCCGTGGTGGCCCCGGGAGGCGGCAGCGACGATGATGTGGCCGTGGTGGCCCTTGGCGACGATGACGATGATGATGCATCCGTGGTGGTTCTTGACGACGATGACATGGCTCGAGAGCCCGCTGCTGAGATGACCGGTCTGGTCCTTGGAGACGGCGATGACGATGATGTGGCCGTGGTGGCCCTTGGCGACGATGACGATGACGATGCGGTGGCCGTGGTGGCCCTTGGAGACGGCGATGACGATGATGTGTCCGTGGTGGCCCTTGGCGACGATGACGATGACGATGAGGTGGCCGTGGTGGCCCTTGGACACGGCAGCGGCGACGATGTGGCCGTGGCGGCCCTTGCAGCCGATGGCGGCGACGATGCCGATGGCGATGCGGATGCACCCGTGGTGGTTCTTGACGACGATGACATGGCTCGAGAGCCCGCTGCTGAGGTGACCGGTCTGGTCCTTGGAGACGGCGATGACGATGATGTGGCCGTGGTGGCCCTTGGCGACGATGACGATGAGGTGGCCGTGGTGGCCCTTGGAGACGGCGATGACGATGATGTGGTCGTGGTGGCCCTTGACGATGAGGTGGCCGTGGTGGCCCTTGGACACGGCAGCGGCGACGATGTGGCCGTGGCGGCCCTTGCAGCCGATGGCGGCGACGATGCCGATGGCGACGCGGATGCACCCGTGTTGGTTTCTGGAGACGGCAGCGGCGATGGTGTGGCCGCGGTGGCCCTTGGAGCCGATGGCGGCGACGATGCGGCCGTGGTGGCCCTTGGAGCCGATCGCGGCGATGATGCGGCCGTGGTGGCCCTTGGAGACGGCAGCGACGATGCTGTGGCCGTGACGGCCCTTGGCGATGATGACGATGGCGACGAGGGTGCATCTCCGGTGGCCCTTGGCGGCGATGACGCTGGCGATGAGGATGCATCCTTGGTGGCTCGAGAGTTCGATGATAACACAGTCCGAGAGCCCGATGACGCTGTGGCGTCACTTGACTGCTGGAGTGGATCCCGTGGGTGTCCACCGATTACGACACCCTGCGACCACAGATCAGGGACGCCTGGATGACGCACAAGAAGTCGATCCCTAGGATCGTGGGTAACACCAGGAGGGGTAGCTCGGCCTCTTGCTGGTCCAGTTTGACGCGTGCCCACATGGCCTTGCTGACTTCTTGGGAGGAGCCGTCAGCCAAGGAGATCCGCGTTCGCACTGCCCTCTTGTTGGTGGTGGTGGCCAGAGTTTGGGCCACTCGCTCGCTCGCGAAGCTGCGCGACGCTCCAGTGTCCAGCGGGGCCAGAAATGGTCAAGTCCAGTCGAAGTGGTGGCTTTACGGGTTGGGAAGTGTGCTGGCTGTCCACGGCCGCTCCCAATTCGAGCGGGGATGCTGTCCGTTTCCCGACTGCCGACAACAGTTCACAGTCCGCACGCCTCTGCGTCCGCAATCCCAACAGAATAGGCGGGGCGGCCCAGTGCACTCTTTGGCGAAGTGGCCTGCGCAGCGACGGCAGGCACGCTGTATGTCCACCGGCAGCCTGTCCTCGTCGGAGATCATGTGATTCGTAGCCCCGATGGGCAGGGGGACGGCGTTGGGTTCTCTTGCAGCCGTAGTCCTAGGGTATGGTGGTGACTTTTGCGCTTGGTCCGTCAGCGTTTCGAGGGTGGAGAACTCGTGGCGACGAATAAAGAGCTGATATTCTGGCAACAAGTTCTCATATATCCTTTCGAGCTCGTCTGCCAGAGTGTACTTCGCGCGCTGCATCATGAGTCTCAGGTCCACAAGGAAGTTCTTGAATGGCTCCTGCGGCTGTTGATACCGGGTGCGGATCGTGTCCTCCAACCTCTGAAAGTACCTCGGAGGCAGGAAGAACTCCAAGAACTCGGTCTTAAATAGGAGCCATGGCACAGAGTGCATGCGATAGGCTCGGTACCAGCCTTCCGCTCTTCCAGATAGTAATCCGGAGATGGCTCTGGGTACGTCGCTGATCCGGAGGTTGTAGGCGGCTGCTCCTTCCTCGACTCGTTCCACGAAATGGACCGGGTCCGTTTGTCCGTCGAAGAGGATTCCCCAGCTCCGTAGCTTCTCGGTCAGTACCGCTGCGGATATGGCGTCGCGCGGTGCTCGGTTAGTGGAGGCCGTGGTTGCATTCTGGGCTTCCGCGCTGGTGGTCATGCGTCCTGGTGAGGATGACCGCCCGGGTACGATCAGCTTCATGGCCCCGCTTCCGGCATTGGGGACGTGGACCGTGATTGCATTTCTTGCGGATGGTGCCTCGGGATAGAGGGCTTCTAGCTGTGCGAGTCGAGACAGTCTGGCTATGCTCTGTCTTCCCGATAAAGTCGGCTAGTCGTGCTCGCAGCTCGACTACCGTTCCCGCCGTTTCTAATCCGAACTCCTTGAGAAGTCCCTCCAGTTCCTCTTTCCGGACGCCCATGGTGGCCGGCTTTTCCTCACTTCCGGTTGCTACGACTAATTCCTCCAGGTTGTCGTCCGGCGTGGGTTTCCGGGTGGTCTTTGATGTCCAGTTCCTTTATCCTTGGCGTCAGTGTCCAACGACCACGTTGGCGGCGACGTAGAGTGGCCGGAACGAGGCTTAGTGGCGATGTTGAACTGTGTTGATGGCCAACAACCACGTGTGCGGTGGCACGAAGCGGCCGGAACGAGGCCTAGCAAAGCTGCACTACGTCGGTGGTGGTCCACGACCACGTTGGAGCGACGTTGAGCAGCCTGGCCGAAATCCGGTGCGGCTCAGTGGCGTTGATGGCCAACGACCACGTTGGCGGCGATGCTGGGCGGCTTGTCCGAAATCCGGTAGGGATCAGCGGCGTCGATGGCCGACGACCAAGTTGGCGGCGATGCTGGGCGGCTTGGCCAAAATCCGGTGGGGATCAGCGGCGTCGGTGGCCGGAACGAGGCCTGGTGGCGGCGCTGTGCTGCCGAGCCGAGGTCTGGTGAGGACCGGTGGCGTCGATGGCCAATGCTCACGTTGGCGGCGATGCTGAGCGGCTTTGCCGAAATCCGGTGAGGATCGGTGGAGTCGATGGCCAATGCTCACGTTGGCGGCGGCGTCAAGCGGCCGGAACGAGGCCTGGCTAAGATGCGCTTCGTCGGTGATGCTATGCGTCGGTGGCGGCGCTGCGTCGGTGGCGATGCTTGACCACGTTGGTGGCGCTGAGTGGCCTTGCCGAAAATCCGGCAGGGATCAGTGGCGTCGATGGCCAGAACGAGGGCTGGCAGAGCTGCGCTGCGTCAGTGGTGGCTCTACGTCGGTGGCGGCGCTGCGTCGGTGGTGGTGCTTGAACACGTTGGTGGCGCTGAGTGCCCTTGCCAAAAATCCGGCAGGGATCAGTGGCTTCGATGGCCGGAACGAGGGCTGGTGGCGCTGCGCTGCGTCGGTGAGGCTTCCCGACCACGTTGGTGGCGGCGCTGAGCGGCCTGGACAGCAATCCGGCGAGGATCCGCGGCGTCGATGGCCGGGACAAGGGCTGGCGAAGCTGAGCTGCGTGAGCGGTGGCTGTCGGTCACGTTAGCGGCGGCGTTAAGCGGCCGGAACGAGGCCTAGTGATGATGCACTGCGTCGGTGATGCTTCCCGACTGCGTTGGTGGCGGCGCTGCGCGGCCTGGACACAAATACGGCGCGGATTCGCGGCGTCGATGGCCGGAACGAAGGCTGGCGACGGCGCTGTGCGGCCGAACCGAGGTTTGGCGAGGATCGGTGGTGTCGTTGGCGACGGCCACGTTTAAATGGAACGATAAAAGTTCCCCGTTGCAAATAGAGGTGAGAGAGCCCCAACCAAAACTATGGCGGCAGTCGTGTGCGTATCAAAAATTGTTTTTCTATTGTCGTGTGTGTTTACTTGGTTTTGCCACTTTGGTTTTCTGGTACTTGGCGCGTGTAACGACCCTGTCTGTTTTGCTGAGCTGGCGTGCGCCTGACGTGTGCGACCCTGTCTGTGGCGAAAAATATCTCCTAGCGTCGCTGCTGGTGTGCGCGGTGACCCTTGGTGGCCTAAGCGGTGTCTGGCCAGGATTTATATATGCTGCCGTGATCGGCACGCGTGCGGGGCGGTTTGCGGCGATGCCGGGCGCTCTGGGTGGCCGGGCGGCTCGGCGACGGCCAGCGGCGTCTTATGGGTCTTAAGGCCATAAATTTGGTGGACCCCGGCTCGTCCTCCGCGCGTCCCTGCTCGGGCGCCAGACTGTAATGATGTTTCTACGGCTGGGATGGAGCTGAGTCTCCCCAGGATCCTTTACAATCGAATTTGTAAATAAGCGGGGACGAGGAGAGGCGGGCAACCTGGACGCAGTCGCCGATCAGTCGCGATGCGCGCGGCGGGCCTTATTGGCGGGTCAGAGCAGGCATTTGGGACTCGGATTTGGCCAGACGCGAACGAGTGAAAGCCGTCACGTGCGTGCCGGAGGAGGCACAGTGGGGGGATTGGCCCGTACCACTGTGTCAACTCCCGCCGCCTGGGGCGCTGTTTCACGCCCACGCAGAGGAATCGTCTCCAAACATGGACAGAAGTTAGCGCTCCCAGTTCTGGGACAGGCTCCCACTGTTCGGGATGGGCGTGCGTCGGTCGAAACCGAGAAGGAAAGCTATGCAAGCCGAAAGAAAACCCGTACTTGCACGCCTTCACGTCTGTTCACGTGGTTGCCACCAAAGTCCAGTTGCGCAGAGGAATCTTCTCGAAAACGCAACCGGCTTGGCTTGGGCCACAGTTTAACACACGCGGGTCGGGTTTGGGTTACTTGGGGCTTGGGTGCGTCGACCGGAATCGAGACGGAAAGCTATGCAAGCGGAAAGAAACCCGTACTTGCACGCCTTCACGTCTGTGCACGTGACTGCCACCAAGGTCCAGTTGCGCAGAGGAATCTTTTCGACATCGCAACCGGCTTGGCTTAGGCCACTGTTTTAGCACACGCGGATCAGGGCTTTGAGGTCAGGGAAGAAATAAATCCAACTCGGTGTATGTTCGCTGTTCTTATTGTCCGTGCTTTGTTTTATTTTTCTTGGTTATCTTTTTGGGCTTTTCTTCCTCTTTTCTATATGTATATTTTCCCTAGCCGCACTATTTTCTTTCCCTGTCTCTCTCTATCTCTCTCACACTCTACTCACTACGGTCCTTCGTCCTGATCCTTGATGTCCTGCGTGTCCTTGGTGTCCTTGCGTGGTTTTTCTCTGCTTCGATGTTTGGTCTTTGACTTGTGGCGAATGAAAGAGAGCGGGACTGGCAGCCGCCGGGCTTATATAGCCAGCCGGGCTCTCGCTTCTCAACACTGGAAACGTGCGTAGATCGCCTAATCCGATCGTGTGTAGATCGCCTAACCCGCTGAGTAGAGCGCCTGATCAGCTGAGATCCTAATTAACACACTAAATAACGCCTGTTTGAACTACCGGCTAACGGCCGATTAACACACTAAATAACGCCTGTTTGAACTACTGGCTAACGGCCGAAATTTTGAACTTAACGGCTCTTTTGGCTTCTTGCCTGCCTCCGTGGCCTATCCTAACTTAGTCTTATATCTATCAATATGTGTATGTATATGTATATCTTAAACTTACTCGCTGGATGTGGGGCATCTTTTACGATGCCTCACAAACTTAAAAAAAATATGCTGAATTTGCAGAGTCTTCTTGTATTCAAAATTATTAACAGTGGACTAAATACTCGGACGGTCTAAATAAGGGCCAAGTACCTTAACTGGGGAAACTCTGCATGTGTTCTGGTGTTCCACGGTGCCGCTTTTTCGGTGTTATATAGCAACACACGATCTCTAAGGAAGTCCTTAATAATGGCTGCTAGGTGGTTTAAGACTCAAAACCAATGTCGGGAGTGAATTGATGGTTTTTATGTATATTTATTACTGTTTTGGGCCTTTTGTAGTTTCTTGTCAATGGATCGTTCCAATGCTTTGCCAGCTGTCGATCAGGCAGATCGGCCTAAAGAATGCGGCTATAAGGCTATTAATTGTATCCGACATTATAATTTGAGCCATTTTGGCATACTATACTCTGCGTACATCGAAAATTTCTTTCGATTGGACTGAATCCAAAAAAAATGTTCTT